CCCCACGAACTCACCCCTCTGCAAACACTCACACACTCATCTCACTGCAAACACTCACACACTCATCTCACTGCAAACACTCAGCTCACGAACTCATCTCTCTGCAAACACTCATACTCAAACACTCACCCATCTCCCTGCAAACACTCACTCATCTCACTGCAAACACTCACTCATCTTACTGCAAACACTCACTCATCTCACTACAAACACTCACTGCAAACACTCACCCATCTCCCTGCAAACACTCACTCATCTCACTGCAAACACTCACTCATCTCACTGCAAACACTCACTCATCTCACTGCAAACATTCGCTCATCTCACTGCAAACACTCGCTCATCTCACTGCAAACATTCGCTCATCTCACTGCAAACACTCGCTCATCTCACTGCAAACACTCGCTCATCTCACTGCAAACACTCGCTCATCTCACTGCAAACACTCACTCATCTCACTGCAAACATTCGCTCAGCTCACTGCAAACACTCGCTCATCTCACTGCAAACGCTCATCTCACTGCAAACACTCACTCATCTCACTGCAAACACTCGCTCAGCTCACTGCAAACACTCGCTCATCTCACTGCAAACGCTCATCTCACTGCAAACACTCACTCATCTCACTGCAAACACTCACTCATCTCACTGCAAACATGCACTCATGTCACTGCAAACACTCACTCATCTCACTGCAAACACTCACTCATCTCACTGCAGACACTCACTCATCTCACTGCAAACACTCACTCATCTCCCTGCAAACACTCACACACTGCAAAGACCAAACTGTCTCGCTGCAAGCAAACTTTTCACTTTCACTCAACAAGCAAACTTTCACTTTTCACAAACACATCTCACTCCAAACACACTCATCTCACTACAAACACTCACTCATCTCACTGCAAACACTCACACTCACTGCAAACACTCACTCATCTCACTGCAGACACTCACTCATCTCACTGCAGACACAAACCCATCTCATTGCAAACACCTGTCTCACATCAAACACACAGAACAGGTAGAACCATCTGCAGGATTATTATGGGATACCCACATTAAGCTGGATGAATACTACATGCTAAGTTTCATAGGACTACATGCATCTATTGAGGATAAATGCATCCATAAACAAGTAAAAGAACATCAAATAGGCCTGAAGCACCAATGACAATATCAAATTAATCATCAGCATGTCAGATAAAACACTCTATATTGGTCTTTTAACAGACTCATCAATCTGTGTGAGTTTGTGTACTTACTATAATCAGCAGAATAAAGTAGATGAAGTTGTAGAATGAGTGAGCATCCATGACGTAATACATGATTTCCACCCAGCCCTCCAGAGTAATAACCTAAACACACCATAATTTGCAGAAAAGAAAAAAAAACACTTCAAACAGTTCTCTGGAAATTAAGTTTGCTTCCAATAAGTTCACATTAAACACAAAGAACATCAATCAGCTGGATGACTGTTTTCACAAGTTCTACGGTGGAAATGAGTCTCCAGCAGATACCTGAAATATAACGATCCAGGCGTATCCGATGTTGTCAAAGTTGATGGCTCCTTTGTGTGGGTTTCTGTGTCCGGTGTGGCAGCGTGTGTAGTATCGATTCCAGTTGACACAGAGTCCGGGGGCGATGGCGCTGGCATTGAGGAAAGGCTCGGTCACGAGGCCCAGTGCCTGATGGTGCAGGAGATCATCTACTTCCAGACAGCACTGATGTCCCGCCACACGCCGTGCCGGCACGTCACTGCACGACATGATGCCATTATCCTGTGGCAGAGAGCAGATGAAGGGCCTCTCGTCCTCCTCACTGGGAGAGTAGTATGGAGCAGGGAGTGCCACACCTGTTGAGCTGAGAGAAAGAGGAAATAGATTTGTGTCCAAAATCTAATCAGACGCATTACTGCCTACATACACTGCAAATGATGATTTTCTTACTGGACAAAACATTTTTAAAGTAATGTTTATTGCACGTTCTTACAACATTATGCATATTTGATATAGGTTCTCATAAAGTTGAGAGAAAACATTCTTAGAACAACATTCCCGGAATGTGTTATATGTAGTTGAATGTTTTAAGAAATGTTTTTGTAACCTTTACAGTTTTTTTTTTCAACAGTTTAAAAACAAAATGTTCACTTGTCACATAATTTCTGAAAGCTGACACTCAAACGGCAGGAGCACACACCAAATCTGCAAAACCACACACTAATGCTCAGCCTTTGACTCAGTTTTCAATTTCATAAAACACTTTTTGCAAAACACAACACACAATTCTCTATGTAACACACAAAAATCTAACAGGAATTAATATTATGGCAAAGGTGTTTGCAAATGTTTGCTTTTGAGATGTGTTTGTGATATTTTGAGTGCAGTGCTTCATTTTGCAAGAGATGTGAGGCATTTTGCATTGTGTGTGTGCAATTCTTGGATTTGTGTGTAAAGTTTTGAAAAAAAAAAAAAAAAAGAGGCAAGTTTTGAAAATGTAAGCAGTTCAAACATTTTTTAAATAACGTTCCAGACAAGAAAACTGGACAGTTTAACATACTTAGAATATAAAAAATAAAATTTTGTAGATTTATTTTTTTTTTTTTACCTTTATTTAATGTTATAATTATGACAAGAAAACTGGAGATTTCAATATTTTAGAAATATTTCAAAACAATGTTTGTGTAATGGTTTAATAACCTAAATGTGTTACCTGGGGATACATAAAAAAGCAAAATATAAGATATTACATATTATTTCTAAAAATGTATGAAAATGAAGTGAGTTTATGCTTAAAAAGAAAATGGAAAAAATCTCTTTCAATATGGTCATCATTTTTATGACCCTATTGGCATTTTTTTAAACCAACTTCCATTTTTATTGATTTTTCAGAAATCGTGACTTAACATCTTGTCATTTTGCTTGTGTCTTGACTTAAGAATGTTTCAATATTTGTACTGGAAAACAAGACAAAAACACTGAGGAATAAAATAATTTTTTGCAGCATTTCAACTGACATGGACCCTTATAAAATAAGTGATTTGCGAAAACTCTACCTAGGGAGCAACTCCATGCTGCTAATGTAACAACATGAAAGCATATAAATACACAGCACACACAAATATTGTGTAAAATAACAATTTTTTTCACAAGCTCACTGCAGTGAATTTTGGGATTGTTTTCTTCATGGCCAAACTGCAGTAATTTCTGGAACAGCCTTTGATTTAAGAGAATGAAGCTGCTCCCTACATAGGCTGCTCACTAGGTTTTGGAACAGAGCCGCAGCCTTCATCACATATGTGTTTACACTGATTTAGAGTATATCTCTGACATATAAAGACCAACATCCGGAAGCGCAGAAACATACAGACGGTTTAACAGAGCTCAGAGGGTCAAAGGTTTGTTAGTGCTCGTCTCTATGACCATAAAGGCGACATTCAGATGCTTTTAATAAACTAAAGAGCACATCAGTGCAAACGCACAGATCAAACACCGAGAGCAAATTAAATTATATTTCAGAACATTACAGAGGACAAACATCATCAAAGAGAAGCTGGGTGTTGATTCATCTATCAATGCACTTCTGACGGAACACAGATTTATAAACACTACTATGCAACACTTTGGGCTAGTAAGAACTTTGTATTTTTATTCAGCAAGGGCACATTCAATTGACCAAAAGTGACTGTAAAGACATTTCTAATGCTACAAAAGCTATTTTGCATTATTTTCTAATTTAATACTGAATTATTCATTACAAAATGATATTATCAGAATAACAGTTTCATCTGAGAGTCACTTTGGATAAAAGCATCTGCTAAATGAATAAATGTAAATGAATGAAAAGAGCTTCGAAATGATGCTGATTATCAGTTATTTACTGTTTTTAGTGTCAAAATCCTAAAACTTCAGTCATTTCCAGGTTTAAATGAACATTAAATCCACTAAAACAAATTGGCCAGTAAACATGAATATATACTGTATATATACAGTGCTGTGAAAAAGTTTTTGCCCCCTTCCTGGTTTTTAATTTTTTTGCATGTCACACTTAAAAGATTCAGATCATCAAAAAAAATTTATATTACACAAAGATAACCCGAGTAAATACAAAATGCAGTTTTGAAATAATGATTTAATTTATTAAGAGAAAAAAGCTGTCCAAAACTGCCTGGCACTGTGTGAAAAAGTAATTGCCCCCTCAATCTAATAACTGGTTGTGCCACTCTTTGCAGCAACAACTGCAATCAAGCGTTTGCGATAACTGGCATTGAGTCTTTCACATTGCTGTGCCCACTCTTCTTTGCACAATTGTTTTAATTCAGCCACATTGGAGGGTTTTCAAGCATGAATGGACTTGTTTAAGGTCATGCCACAGCATCTCAAACGGATTTAAGTCTGGACTTTGACTAGGCCACTCCAAAACCTTCATTTAGTTTTTCTTGAGCCATTCAGAGGTGGACTTGCTGGTGTGTTTGGGATCATTGTCCTGCTGCATAACCCAAGTGCGCTTGAGCTTGAGCTCACAAACTGACGGCCGGACATTCTCCTTCAGGGTTTTCTGATAGAGTGCAGAATTCATGCTTTCATCAATTATGGAAGTCATCCAGATCCTGAAGCTGCAGAGCAGCCCCAGACCATCACACTACCTCCACCATATTTGACTGCTGCTATGATGCTCTTTTTATGAAATGCTGTGTTGGTTTTACATTAGATTTAGGGGGCAATTACTTTTTCACGTAGGGCCAGGCAGGTTTGAACAGCTTTTTTCCCTTAATAAATTAAATTATCATTTAAAAACTGCATTGTGTATTTGTCAAAATTGACAGTAAAATCATTTATAATGTTACAGAAGATTTCTTTTTCAAATAAATGCTGTTCTTTTGAACTTTCTTTTCATCTGTGAATCCTGAAAAATAAAATGTATCACAGTTTCCACAAAAATATTAATGTTTTCAACACTGATAATAATCAGAAATGTTTCTTGAGCAGCAGCATATTATACTGATTTCTGAAGATCATGTGACACTGAAGACTGGAGTAATGATGCTGAAAATACAGCTGCG